GAGCTGCAAGCCTCTCAGTTTCCAAACCCTTTTCATTGATGAAACCCAGAGTTCCTCCCCAACAAATGCCTCCAAACCCCCTCCAATCTCCCTGGTGTATCCTCGGGGTGGAGTTCACGCTTGTATCAGCAGCTCCAGGAGCCCAGCATGATGCCATCTGTTGTGTCCCAGCACTGACCACCACCGATCTGCCTGGAGGAAAAATTGCCCATCCTGGTTGGAGGCAGCACCATCTGTGCCACCCTGGCGGATGGTGGCTCTTGGACACAGCTCCTCAGGCTGTCTGCCTGCTGGGAAGGGGCTGAGCTGGCTCTGGCCTTGGCACAGCTTCCTCCTGGGTATTATTTGCACTTCTCTGTGCTTGGGAAAGGTCACTCAGGGCTGGGCTGAGCAACTGGCTGGAGGAGGCTGAAGTGTTTGTGATACTGATGGTCTCATTGTTTTCTTCTTTTTAGAGTTTTTCTGCCCCCTTTAGCGCCAGTCACCATCTGACCCCAAACTGGACCTCCTCTAGGACCCAGAATGTGGGACAAATGTTTTCAGGTGTGATGAGAATATCAAGCAAGGGCATGGAAAAGCTTTTATGATGTCAGAATCTAGCACTCCTTATGTTAATAAATCTCCATTGAAAATGGTGCAAAAGCAGGGCTACACAAATCCCAATGTTCCCCAAACCCGAACAGTCCTCATGAAACCTGCCAATAGCCAGAAGGGCTCCAGCACACAGGAGGCACCTGTGGCTGCTCCCTGAACCCCAGAGCATCCCTAAAACCTCACAGGTTGCCTCCCTCCCTCTTTCCACCGCTCCAGGCTTCCTCTGCTCTGCACGTTCTCCAAAGCCAGCTGCAGGCACACGACTGCGGCTCCAGCCCACACGCTGCTGCCCGGGGCACGAGTGCAGGCTTTGAGCCGTGGAGCGTGGCCCGCCCGAGCCGTGCTCAGGCCTGTTGGCACGTGGGCTCCCTGGCCGAGGGGCTGGCACGGAGCTTGCAGGGGGAGCACCAGCAGGAGATGTTTGTGCTCGCAGCCGAGAGCAGGAGCAGAGCGCACGGCCAAGCTGCAGCCCCTCCAGTGGAGTGCCTCGTCCTCCCCCTGTGCTCTGGGGCAGTAAATCATTCAGCATGGAATAAGAGCTGCTCAGACCGAGGAAGAATGGCTCCCCGAGACAGACCTCACCTGGGAAGCCGCTGGGAAGCACTTCTGAATTGGCAAGAGTTAGCAATGGGGAATGAAGGGGGATTTGACAATGCTGATGCCGCTCCTCAGGAACCAGGGACTCAACATAAAAGTGAGCAGGGAGAGTTCATACATAACCTCCCTCCCCCCGAGGATCTGTCATTGCTGTAGCTCTGAGCCACTGTGGAGGGACTAGCAGTACACCCACACACCGACTTGAGGAGCGCGACGGGGCCGAGTGCCAGCTCTCCTCCTCCTCCATCAATCACCAGGAAGAGGGAGACAGATGTTTCCCCAAGGAGTTTGGAAGGTATCATCAAGGAGCAGGATAAATCAGGTCCCTGCATATACAACAGGGCAATTATTTATGGATCATCAAATATTGGCTCTAAAAACCCCAGGCACTAAACAGCAGCCTGTGCCAGGGTGTGTGTTTACCTTCTGCCTGCACCTCACAGAGCAGGAGCGATGGGATCAGCACCAGCCATGACCCAACACCCTTTCCAGCTGGACTCACTGGTGAGGGCAAAGGGACCTACTCTGACATGGCTTTGCCACCTTCTGCCTGGGGAATTGAGCAGGAAAGCACAGTCAGGTTCACCAAGCCTGGCATGCAGCAGGAGTGGGTACGGACCCGCTGGGATCTGCTGGCTGCAGGGATGTTGTGTCACAGCACATGTGGCTGCCCCAAGCCAAAGAAGGAGGGGTAGGTACAACCTGATCTCAGCCACTCTCTGCCTCAAGGCTTTCACCTCTGGAAGACCCTGGTTCAGTTCCTGGCTGAGCCTGGCCATCCCTGACAGGAGCAGCAGCAAAGTGGCAGCAGCAATGCCTGGCGGGATGCCCTTATAAGAGCAAACTCGAGCTCCCAGTCATAAACTAAACCCTTCTCTTTCATTTACTCATCTGACCTGGCGGTGCTGGGACTGATAATGCTGGTTTCCTTTTAAGCAGAGGCCAGTCATAAATAAAATAAACCAGGCATGCTTTGTGTTTCCACTCCTTGCCTTTCATCCCCGCTCCTCAAAGGCACGGAAGGGAAGTCCTGAGCGGGGAGCAGGAGCTGGGCCGGGGACAGCAGCGGCTCCAGGCTTGGCCTCAGCTGCACTTGTGTGGGTTCATGGCCCTGTCGAGGGGTGGGATCACCTTCCCCTTTCCAGCAGCGTGGGGAAAGAGCAATGAGAGGCAGAGACTTCACTTGGAATGAGTCGCATTCACAGCACTGTCCGGGACACAACCAGGCTCCTTTTCTTACCATCCACAAGAATAAAAGCAGAATTCCATACCCAGACAGCTGCTGGGGGAGAGAACATGCCTTCCCTTCCCCAGCCCCAGTGCCTGACTGGGAGGATGATGGGACATGCTAACAGGAGGCCAAAGAATGGAAAGCCTGACAAACACTCATTCCCAGAAGCTGCCGGAGCCGAGGCCGCCCTCGTTAGGGCTGACCCCGCAGTGAGGGGCAGGAGGCTCAGCTGGAGCCCAGCAGCGTGTGCCAGGGTGTCAGCTTCCCCTGTTTCTCTTGCCACCTTACGGGGTGTGATGTTTTCCTTCGGTGCTCTCTGATGAGCTGCCTTGGGATGCTTGGGCTGAGCAGCTGCAAGGGGCTGCTGCCAGAGAGGCTGGAGTCTCCTTACAGCAGGGATGAGAGCTGCAGGCTGCAGCACCCACCCCTGTCCCAGAGCAGCAGCAGGTGTTGCATCAGACTCTTCCAGAGTCAGAGGAGAGTTAGAGTTGGAACCATGAGTGAATTTTGTTATAGTTTGTCTCAGGGATTTGCCTGCACTCTCCAGCCCTCTCCTGGCCAGTTCCATGAAGCACAGCAGTGTGAGATGGCAGAAATAGAGGTTTAACTCACCAAGCTTTAACTCACAAAGGTTTTATAGGTATTTTCTCTCCCATACTAAGCCTGGAGGAGCATTCACAGCATCCAGCCCTGGCACAGCACTGACATGGCCAGTCCCGTGTAGACAGCAGTGCTGGAGAGAGATCCCAAGTTATTGCAGAGCCATGGATCTGGGCGAAAGGGAATGGGGAAGAGCCAGCAAAGCAACATCCCAAACCCTTCCTGGGGTAGCACATTCCTAAAGCAGCATGGCTGGAGCACAGGCTGACCCCTGTTTGCACAGGGGAGTTTTAGGAATTCCCTCAAGAAGATGAAATGGCTGCAGAGGAGGTGCAAATACTGCCAGGCAGCAGATAAGCAAGTCTGGAGAAGCCTTGCATAGAGGTGTGCTCTGGGGAAATCATAGCCCCTAATTTGGTCTGGGAGGCCTGTCTGGATTTGGGGTGACCCTTGGAGAAGTAGCTGAGCCTGCCTGAACACAACCTGCTCTGCAGTGCCCAAGCCTTACCCCCATCCACTGATATCACTAACATAATTATTATAAAGTTGACACAATTATTTAGCTTGCAGAGCTCCTTTCCTACACACAGGACAGTAATTCTGCTTGGTTCTGCCCACCATCTCTGTGAGTATCTCAAAAGCAGCCCTTTGTCCCTGCAGTTCCTTGCAGGCAGCAGAAGTGAGCAGGGATGGCTGACTTGGGGGCTGAAAACACAATATTGGGTTCAGGCCATAAGAAGGGGAAAGATGCAGCTGGGCAGATTGGAGGCACCAATGTCCTTCAGCAACCCAAGGAGCGACAGGTGGGATGTCCTGTCCCTGTCCCTGTCCTTCCAACACCACCTGGGCGCCTCTGCCGCTGGCTCGGGGCTCCCTTGCACGTCCCAATGCTGCCATCTGTAGCACAGAGCTCTGCTCCTGCTCCCCAGCACAGCGCCGGGAGAGCCGGGAGAGACCACGGCAGAGCTCGGCTTCACAAGGTTTGGCTTTGTGAGAGTCCAAATGGGCAAATCCTGGCCTAGGATTTGGCTTTTTCCGTCCAAAGAGAGGCTTCTATGTGTGCTGAATTGCATTTTTAGTTGTCTGCCAAGGGCACCAGAGCCTGGAATTGTAGTTATCATTCTGCTTATCTGCCGGAAATAAAACAAATATTAAATAATACCCAGAGCTGTGGTCTATAAGGGGATTTTAGTCCACAAAAGCCATGGATTCGTGTAGGACCAGCCAAGGATAATCACAGCCTCCCATGCATACAGAGCTGGGGACAGTGCTTCACAGTTTTAAGACATTTACACTGTGGGAAGGGGGGATGCACAACCATCCTTCCCTTGCCTAGCTTATGAAAACACCTCATCACTGAAATTCATTTCAACGCTGCTCATTTCTTGGTGCATTTCCATGTCAGGAAATACTGGACAAAGGCTCGCTCACCCTGCTCCCAAATCCCTGTATTGTCCCCAGCAGGGAAGGGAAATGCAGAAGCGGGGCGTGCTGAGCTCAGCACAGCAGCATCCCGAGTCTGGCCGGCCCCGGGGCACCACGAGGGGGGAAAGTGGCTGTGACAAAGCTGGCATCAGCTAATTTCAGGCCAGGCTGTGACTCACAAAGAGAGAAAAAAGGAAACAGGGAGAAAAATGCATCTCCGATGCTCAGGGTGTAGCTGAGACCCTGTCAGAGACATCATTCCTCTGCCACCTCCCTTCTCTCGGGTCCCTGAGGTGGATGTCAGATGTGCTTTGGGGGTCCCCATCTTTCCTTCGTGCCTTAGACACTTGTGACCCCTCTGGATCACACGGCTCCATCCCGCCCGAGCCCAGCACCGCAGCGGGGCCGGATTAACCCGCCGGCCTCAGAGGGATTTGCTGCTCCCCATCCCGACCTCAGCCCGCCGGGGATGCCAGCCCCGCACACGTGGGCTCCTGGCCGGCAGCATCTATAAAAAGCCCTCTGTGCGTGCCCCGGGCTGGGCTGGAGAGCGATGGCATTGCGGGTGAGCGCTGGGGACAGGGGGTGGCACTGCCGGGGCTGGGGGTGACAGAGGGTAAAGGGAAGTGGAAGGGAAGGGGCAGACAGGTAGAAATCCTGAATAACACAGGGGTTATTGCTCCTCTGTGTCAGTCTGGTCCAGGCTTCTGCAAAAGTGAGTTTTGTGATGCTCAGTAAAGGGCAATAGGAGAGATTTTCATCCTGGTTATAGCAGGGCTGGTCTGGGGTGGTGCTGCCCTAAAGTCAGCAATTCTCACTTGCAGGCTTTAGCTGAGACCTGTGTGTTGCTCTCCATCTCTGTTAGGACAGCCAGCAGCAGAGGGAACAGCCCTTTCCTGTGTGTGCTGTGTCTCTTGCTGGGGTTGGTGCCGTGGTTACAACCCCAGGGTCAGGGCAAGGTGAACCTGGGTGCTGCCATCGTGCCCTTTGAATCCAGAACTCATCAGCTCCAGCAGCTGTCTGTGCTTCAGGGGGTGAGCACTGCTCAGAGCCTTTCAGTGCCCATGTGTGGGGTGCCAAAGCTGCCCTCATAAAGCAGCCAGGCATGAAGGTATGAGGTTGGTCATTGCCAAATGCCCAAAAATGTGCATGTCCTAAAAAAGCATTGGAAATAAAACTTGTGACAGAGAAAGAAACAGGGGAGTTGAAGTCCTGAGCTACAGGAAGGGAGAAACAGGCACACAACTGGCAGCGCAGATGTCAAGGCTGGGGAGATTTTCCTAATGTGAGCAAGTTTGTGAGAGGGGATGCTCAGAAATGCAAGATCGTTAGAGCGCTTAAAAAAAAAAAAAAAAAAAGTGGGGTGAAATGGCAAGAACTTCTTATTAAAATGAGTTATTTAATAAAACTATGAATTATTCAAAAGGAACATTTTCCAGCTCATTTTATGCAAGTTTAACCTTGGAGATGGGGAGAGCACGTGGAACAGGGGCTCAGGCAGGAACTTTTGGGAAGAATCAGCCGTGTAACACTGGATGAGCTCAGTCTGGATGTCAGTTTACACCTGCTCCTCTGCTTCAAAGCCATCACAAAGTTTTCTGCTTCAGATTTATATTGCTCAGGTGCAGAGAGAAGCAGAATATCTTTGTGTCCTGACAACAATGAAGGCATTCAAGTTCTTCTTTTATTTTGGCTTTCTGATCCCGCTCAGCTCTTTACAAAAGACCTGGGGGACAGCAAATCCCACCTCATCAACTGGATGTCATGGAGACTTAATATCTTATCAGTTTAGAGTCTCTGAGATTATTTAGGAGTGAGAAAAAGACAGAGATAGAGAATGTGCCTGTGTGGGAAGGGGAGAGAAAGAAGATTACAATGAAAATGTGAGAAAGAAGAGTCAGGACTGAGTGGGGCAGTGGATCTCTGCCACCTTGCTGTGTCCTCCTCCTTGTCTGCAGTTTGAGGCCCTGCACCCAGAGGGAATCTGTCCTGGATGGAGCATCGTGGTCAAGGGTGAGACCAGCTCCAGTTCCAGCATGTAAGGACATGCTCTGCTCCCAGCCCTCCTGCCTCACAAGGGCCAGAAGCATCATTCACAGCTCTCCATCCCTTTTCTCTCACTGTCTTAGGTTTGAGATTAATTTGCTCTGTGATTCCGGAGACCAAATCGCTCTCCACTTTAACCCTCGCCTCTCCAGCTCCAGAATTGTCTGCAACTCCTTCCTCAACAGCCACTGGGGGCAGGAAGAGGTCAACAGCATCTTCCCCTTCAGAGCAAAGGAGCCCTTTCAGGTAACTTTGTCACCCCACAGGTCTCCTCAGGTCTCACCCAACACTGGGGTGCTCCCCATTGCCTTTCCTGCCAATGCCATACCCAGCAATATCCCCTCTCTGGCTTTGTCTCCTGTTAGTAATCCTGTTATAACCTGGTGATTTATAACCAACTCTGGCACAGACCTGCAGAGCTCCAGCAATAATCCCTGGATGCTGCCTTTGTTTTCAATTTAGGCTTTGCATTACCACCAGATTTTGTTATCATGAAAGGAAAAACTCAGTTATTCCCTCTTTGTGCCCAGAGTGGGGGTGAGCAGTGTGTGTGTGTGAGCTCTGGCAGGGTTTGAGGTGGGTGGACAGACCCAGCAGCTCCCTGACATGACAGAAGCAAGGTTCAGTAAGGCCACATGAACATAACACAGTCTCTCTTTCAGGTTGAAATCTACTCTGACCAGGACTATTTCCATGTTTTCATCAATGAAAACAAAGTCCTGCAGTACAAGCATCGGCAGAAGAATCTTTCATCCATCACCAAGCTGCAGATTCTCGATGATATTGACATTTCTTCAGTGGAAATCACCAAACGAGGTCTTTACTAGAGACCAGAGCTGGGACTCTCTCACAGACCATTCCCCCTCAAGCTTCTGATTCAGCCAAGGATCATTTCCTCCCCGTTTTCACATGCCACCACCAACCAGGGAGATGGCCATGTGTCCTCATAGTGAAGGGATGGACATTCTCATCACCCAGCCCTTCAAAGACCTTCTGCCCCTACAGCTTAGGGTGCACAATAAGCTTTGTAGGTCTGATCATCTTTGCTGCACATCAAAATCTGTCTTGAGTAGTCTGGACACTTGAATGTTACCATAGAAATTGTGTTTGCCCAAGAGTAGGGTGTGCATGAGTACCAGTCCTCATCTGGGCACGTGGGGAATGTGGATGTTAGGGGTGGAAAGGGATGTTTCTTTGCAGGAGCTGGGTAAGAATGATACCAGATTTGCCAATAAAATCAACCAAGTAAATCCCTGCTGAGATATCCCTCCCTGGGCAGATCAATCTCATCATTCCTTCCCTGCCAGTCCAGGCATCTGGCATGAGCAAGGGCTGGTGGCTGGGCAGGAGGACACTGTTGAGGTCTGTGTGGTTTTGGCACTGGGAAAATACTGCTTTTTTTTGAGGGCTAATGCAAGGTGAAGGTCCCTGGCATGCAGAACAGTTTGATAAGATTCAGCTTGCCAGGTGTTGCCAGGAATTCCTTTCACCAGCTGAGAGATTTTGCTCAGCTCTACTCCTGCCAGCTCCAGGCTTCTCGGACAGACCCCAGAGTGAGGTCGTGTGTCAGAGAAGGGCAAGAGCTTGGGGAGGCACACAAAAGCACATGGTTCCTCCAGCATGCACCAGAAATGCAGCTGGACTCCAAACAAAAGGAGCTGAGTAAATCAGGGTCTAGAAATTTTGATAAGCTTGGAATGAACAGAGTGCCTGGGGATATGCATGGATAGCCTCTGGCTTTTCTCTGCTTTATTGTTTTCTTTTCTCTCCCTTTTTAGTTGTTTTTCAAAACATTCCACTTATTCCTTGCACCCTCTTCTCTTTTCCAGACCCTTCCTTGGAGCACAACATATCTGTGACTCCTTGACCTGGCCACAGCAGAGTAAAAGATGTTATTTTTACTTTGTTTTAATTACACGCATCATAAACAGCATAATGTCACAGTGTTAAATCTGAACAGGAACTTATTCCAAAAATGCAATTACAGCTGCCCCCTAATCACTCTTTTGTTCCTCACATATAAGACAGAACACATTCCTGATGGAAAAGGCAAAGATGATCCTGCCTTGCCAGTCCTTTTCACTGAGGAGAAATAATTTAATAAGTCAGCTCTGATCCATCCTTGCCTTTGGATGAGATCTCTGAAGGTTGCAGCTTTGCTCCAGCCTTTTCTCAGTGCTCAAATTGGCCATTCCCAGCACTTCCTTCTATTTACAGTTTCCAGGACTTGTGAGGAAGAGGTGGGTGTAGAAAACCACAACACATGATGCCATAAACCTGACATTCATGAACCTGTTAAGAAATTTGCAGTGTTTTTCCAGACTATCAAAGGCACTAATGGGAAACCATCCTGTTCTTGCAGCAAAGGGCTCATTGGGAACACAAAATGGTGCCAAATGGTACCTTTTCCCTCCAAAAAGAACAGAAAATATGTTTTGGAAATGGCAGTGGTCTTAATGGCAAGTCAGGAAAGTTGGAGATGGTGAGACTTCCTGTGGCCTGGAATAAATCCATCACCAATGGGACAGGAGAGTGAACTCAAATTCTGGCTGTTGTGGTATAACCCAGGGCTTCAACACACTTTGCTCTCATGGCCATGCCTTCAGCAAAACAGGCACAAACCCAGACAAAGCCAGGCCTGCAGGGATCTCTGTGTCATCCATCTGATAACGCTGAGCAGCATTTGAAAGAAATTGTCCTTTCTGTTTGTGCTTTTTTTTGGGGGCTGATAAAGACAGATCATTTTTCATGGAGGAAAAGTGATGAAATGATTTATAAGGGTAATGCTTTGTACTTATAAGGCCACCAGCTGCATCCATAGCCCTTGCTGCAGAAACACCCCACAATTTCATTGTTCCCCAGAAACGAGCACAAAGCACCACAGACAAACAGGGCAAAAACATTTCAAGTACAAATAAATAAAGAGATGCCACAAAAATCAGGCAGAGACAGAGATTATGCCCTGACTCCTGGACACATCCCCCCCAGCTCCTGCCAGCAGCTGATCTCAGTCCGTTGCCATCTGCACAGGGAGAGCCCAATCTCTCCTGACACATCCCCAGCTCTGCTGCTGCCTTCAGGGCTTTATCTGCTGCCTCCTCCAGCCAAAACACAGCCAAGGGTGAAGGGGGCAGAAGAGCAAGAGAGGTCTGGGAATCTGCAGAGCCCTGCTGGAAGCAAAACTTCAGGGCTGGCTGTTTATAGATGTTTTGCAGAATTTTATGGGGAATGAGATCTCCTCCAAGTCTGTGGCCCTCATCTGTTCCGTGAGGAAAAACTCCAGAAAAAAAATTAAGCCCTGCAATTACAATGGTCAATGAAAGTCTCTGGAGCAGGCCTGGCACACCAGGGAGGCATCATGGGCTGGTACTGAGGGGATCAAAGGGAACAAATTAATCCTTTTCCACATTCTATCAGCCTCCCTGGTCATGACCTGGGGGGAGAACTGATAAAGACAAGCTCCTGCCCAGGGTAATTTGAAGGGGAAGGGGCTGCAGCACTGGAGGATCCCACCAGAATTTCACTGCCCAGCCTCAAGGTCAAGATCTGCATTTTTGCTGTGGCCAAGTTCTGCAGAGGAGCCAGCTGGAATGTTCCACAGAGAGCATTGCTGTGGGATGGGGTAGGGACTGTCCTAGTCAGGATCTGCAGATAAAGCAGCAGTTGCTGCTTTACTCAATCCAGGATGGGATACCTGGGAAAGAGATGTGTCTCAGGAGGCAAAACTGACAGAAGTGATGACCTCCCATGTGGGCTGTCCCTTTCCCACCAGTTCTCTCCTCAGACTGGATCTGCAGAGCTCAGAAACGCTCTGCTTCATCCCCAGATCAACCAGGGGAAAGTCAAGCTCATAATTGTTCGTGCTTGAGCTGTGCCAGAGCTCCAAGGGCTCCTCTGGCAGTTTCACAGATCTCCTGTGGAGCATCTGCTGATGCGTGACCAGAGCTGCTCCTCGGTGTCCCTGACAGCACTGGCAGTCACCACACACCCCAGCAATTCCCTCACAGGCTGGTGAGCAAGCAGCTCCCTCATCAGCCTCAGCCACCTCTCACCAGCACAGCACAGCCTGGGAACACGGGGCTGGCTGACTGACACCGCCTGCCAGCCTCAGCAAGTGACAATTAATATCAGCCTGGGTCCTGCCTGGAGGCAGGAAACGGGGGGGAAAGGGCAAGGACTTGTTGCCAATGCAGTGACAAAAACTTTCAGGAAAGTTCTAAAAAAGAAGAAAGTCACGCTGGCTGCTTCTGCCCCGTACTCACTTTGCAACTTGGTACCTTTTCTTTCAAGCCCTGTTTTCTTTCTTTCCCACGGCTGCACAAAAACCCCCCAACATACCAAATTTGATGCTGGGTGTTTAGCTATTTCTTCAGTGCTAGAAGGCAGCTCTGGTGAAGAAAGGCAGGAGGACAGCAGTTCTTAACCATTTAATTAAAAATTCAATTTCTCCTCCCATTTTGATGCCCCCCCTGAATATCTGATGGAAACAGCTGGGCTGCAGCACAGGTCTTCTCTCCACTCACAGTAAGCAGCTGTGTTGTGGCACTGCTCAGTGACCCTGGCCCCTTGTCTATGGCATCTCTAATTTCCCCCATCCCCCAAGGGCTGTTTTCCCAGCACAGAAATACCTGCTGGAAGTGCAGACCTTATCAGCAGTGACTTTCTGCATTGCACCTCTGAGTCCCCCTAAGAGGTTGCTTTTTCAGCCCCTGTGGCCTGTCCAACTCCTTAAATGCTCAGCAGCCACAGGTGTTTGCTGAAAGGATGGAGGAACATGGAGGGAAAACGGTCAGCCTTTTTCTGAAGAGGGTGAGGAAAATAAAACGAGAGGAAAGGAGTAGTAACTCTGAGTTCTGGTGGGGAAGGGCAATTACTCAGGCTACAGGCAGCCCCAGAATGCAGCTAGAAGAGTCTCTGCAGGAAAGCAGAGCAGTGTTTCTTTCACTGCAATTAAAGAGAGGTTTGTAAAGCCATTTTAACTCAGCATCTCCATCCAGAGCCAGCTCAGACAGAAAAGCACACCTCCCAGTCCTGATTTTGTATGCATGGTGGCAGGTACCAGCTCCAGACATGAAAGGCTGGAGAAGGATTATTTTCTGAAAGAAAGGCTCTGGTCTAGAAGTTGAAGAATGGGAAGCTGATGGTATCACTTTATTTGGCAGCTGAGTTATTGTGCATCAATACTGCCTGAGGAAAGAGTGACAGAAATTAGTCTGATGCTCAGATTTGCTGGCCCTCCAGTCCCACAGTGTGTCCAAGACCCTCTTGCCAAAGCCAGATGCAATTTATCATGTTATTTCTTCAAGCTATATGGACATCAGTACCCAAATGTCTGGTTTTAGCAGAGCACAACAGCCTGTGGAGATCTGGATGTTTTCTCTGCACCATCCCATTATTTCAATACTTTTGGGGTCTTAAAAAGCACTTATAAAGATCCAAGTATAAAAAGAACTATCATAACACCCTTGTGCAGGAGGGAACCAAGGTACTTGCAGGAAATGAGAGCAGAAAGGAAGGAGGGAACCAGATGGTTTTGTCTCCCTGCAGCTCTGGGCCTGACCCTGGAGTTAAGGCTAGGTTGGGCTGGGACTTTTCATCATCTATCAGGTGTTGCCCCAAGCCTTGAGGAGCCAACAGGCCCCGTGATGAATCCCTCCAAGTGTCACAGCTGAGCCAGCCCCTTGTCTCAGTGAGGCCCAGGCTGCTGAGAGCTCACCAGCCCAAGGAGTTTCCATCCACCTGCACACAGACACCATCACTCTGCTCTCCCACACTAACCAGCATTTTTCTAGCTTGTTTTATGCTAGAAATGATGAAAGAACCACCA